TTGAGAAGCATGAAAGACAGTCGAGGTTGAAATCATTGAGACGCATTGAGCATGCAATAGTTCATCGAGCCGAGCGAAAATTTCGTGGCTGATCGTAGATAGATAGATAGATAGATAGATAGATAGATAGATAGATATGATCCATTTCTTGATACTTCTGTTAAGCTTAGAGTGTAATTATACATTCTTATTGCTCAAAGTAGAGTCCGATAATGTTATAAAAACCTCGGAGAATTCCAGTAAGATATCTTTAATCCTTTCTAAGATACAACGGTTCAAAGCTTAATCTCGCAAATGGAAAATTTTGCTGTTGCACGATTCGGACAATTTTGCTGTTACACCCGTTATATATATATATATATATATATATATATATATATATATATATATATAATTCTAAAACAATTACTAGACCAGGAAACAGTTGCATATACAGAAAATAAAAAATAAATATTCAACTGGCAGAGCTTTTAAATTTCAAAATTTAGGAGATCGATTAATGAAGCTACCATAGTTTCAACCTTTTGATATCTTCAGGTAATATAGGCTAAACCTCTCTCTCTCTCTCTCTATATATATATATATATATATATATATATATATATATATTCCTTTTCTAGATATATTGATAAACACTAATAATATATTCGCTATCTCTCCATATAAAAAACCTATCAGCATTAATTCGTGCACTCTTAACTACAAGATTGAATGTGCAAATTACTATTAAAAATCTAATAAGCCGCGCAAAAATTAATTCATCCACAAAACATTTTCCACAGTAATCAAAAAATATAAAACAAGTTCTTATTAATAATAACTTCCCTAATTATATTGACGATGAATAAATAAAATTTTCTATTAAAAATTTTAATATAAAACAAATAGAATATAATACTTCCTCAAATAATCTTAATAATCATTTATATTGCAAGCAGATACATTCCAATTATAAGCAGGATGAAAATATCCTAAAAAAACTAATAAATAAGAATATATATAAAACAGATCCTAGTATAAAATAAAGTTTATTATATACTATACTAAATTCAATATATCCAATTTAATTATTCGTAATGACTCCTCCAGACCAATTAAGATGTTACAGAAAATCAACATTATATATAGATTAAAATGTCTCTTGGAAGATTGTATCTCCAACAGAAAATTAATATTTATATTGGTTACGCTACAACTTCGTTGCCTCGTAGATTGAGTTTTCATTTGAATGATGCATCCAACGTTTCTAAACATTTACAACGGCATTCCTGTCCACATTCGCAATTTAGAAAACTATAGCGAAGAAAACGGCGACTGACCTCGTCAAACCAAGTGTGTATTCTACGACGGAAAAAGTGGCGAAAAAGAAAATTACTTACCAAACAAAAGGGAACGTATTCCGCATAACATGCTGAAAATGGAATATTTGAATTAAAAAAAAAACAAGTCCGTCGCAGGAGTCTCTATAAAAGTATTTTGATATGCAAATTACTGAACATCCTATCCCAGCTGTCGACGAATGAAAAAAATAGGTTCTGCCGATAAAAGTAGTTGGTGTTCTCGATTCGAGAGCGAAAAATTCGGGCATTTTTGGCTTCGGCGTTTGTTAGAGAGTGAGTTATTTTCCTGACTGGTTACACGCATTGTGATTCGAGATAGTACCGGCGAATCGAGTTTTCAGCATTTCTTTCTGCCCCACCCCCCGATATTCGAGTCTGTACTTACAGTGATTTTTCTTTGTGTTGTGGAAGTGATCTGCGACAACTACTTCCTTTGCTTTCAGAACACCTACAAAAACTTCTTGCTGAAAATACATTTTTCATGAAAATAATAAACATATACTAAAAAATCATGAAGCTGCCTATATTAAAAAAAATTGAAACCAACCCTTGATAAAAATTAATTATGAATACTGCACAAATGTTTTAAAATTTTTACAGAAAATAGTTTTAAAATATCTAGATTTTAAGTAATAGCTTTAAATAGTTTTTTAAAAAATAGATAGGCATCTTAATAACTTAGTTACTTCCCTTGGCGTTACTGCACAAGTATGCTTACATCATGCAAATTAAAAATCGTACAGTACATAAGTTTAGCGTTTTTCACTTCACAATTAAACAATTTCATTTTCAGTTAAGCCCAATGAATTTGTCTTAGATAAAACAAGACCCTGATAAAATGAGACGAGAATGTGACCTCAAAGACTCTCAGCAGTTGAGCCGGCATAAAAACATGAAGTCAACCCAGTTGAAGTTAGGACATACACACTATTGACCATGTTCACCATAGTATATGAATATAGAATACAGCGCAGTACGTAATCTGTTCAATGAAACAACATTAAAGATTAACACTCACGAGTCAGACACTCTACTGAATCTGACTATATCGCCAATACCACCAGCAGCTGTTCAGTAATTCTTCAGGCTTCGATATCAAAGGCTGGCAGTGAATATTCGGAAAAAACATGGCCGCCTTTATACACGTCGCATTGAATATTTTGAGCCTTCTGATTGGTTAATCCGTCTATTGGTGAACTATAAAATGAGTCAGCTCATTTTGGCTGGCTCACTAGTACACCAGGGTACCCAAAAATTCCAACACACACATAATACAATCGGGTGACAGGGAGTGATATATAAACGCTCGTCCTAAGTGGGAAAAATCGCAGAGTCCCTCACATCGCGAGATCTGAATGCCTGTCTCTGAAAACCAGATATATCGACATGGTAGATATTCATTTGACGGAGTCTAGAAAGTGAACAAGGAATGATTATACGTATGAAAGATTTCGCGTCGTATACTTGTCAGACATTCCTGAAATAGCATTGCACGTGCTTGCCTTAATTTTGTTTCGTTAATGAAGCTTAGACGTTTGTCGGGATTAAGACTAGAACAATATTGGAATTACTCGAAACCATTGTTTGAAAGGAGAAGATCGTCGCGACGTAATTTATTTTGTCAGTGTGTTTGCCGAGACGTGGAGTTGTAAAATCGTACCTTAAAAAAGAGAAGAGTGGCACGAGATCACGTGAGATTTCGGGGATGAGGTCGTAAAGGCAGAAATTTAATCCACAAAAAAAAAAGACTCTGGATCTGTCTATATTTCTCAAGGACACATTGGATAAAGGCGTTAATTAGATCCAGTGACGGGAACCCAAAGAGTGTGAGTTCAATACCTGGTTAAGGCGGTGGAGAACTTTGAGAGGGGAATTAACAGGAGATAACTGACATCCAATAGACATGACAAGTAGAACTAGAACAGTCTACCCCAGTGAGAGAAATAAAGGGTTCATTTCGACAATCCAACCACCTGAAGAAGGCCGGAGCGTACAACGGCCGAAACGTTGTGGTGAGCATGGTGACAAAGATGAGGACAATAGTCCGAATAATGTAAATAACGACCGTGGATATTTGTAACGGCTAATTCAAGAAATAATTAGACTTATTCAGAACTCCGACTGGTCACCGAAGATCCCAAACCGGAGTAGCACTTCCCCATTGCACAATAAGATCAGGTCATGAGTTTTCAGAACTGTTTTGCAGCAAAGGATGCAAAGACAATATTTGCTTTCACCGATGGATACGCGTGTAGCGTTTCACAGTATACTGACCCTGTTTAGTATATACGCTTAAGAGGAATGGTTGGTGATCGTGTTTTCAGAGGATATATTGGCCCGCAAACAGATATACGGAAGAAAACAACAAACAAAACTAAGTCTTCAGTAAAAAAAAGTATATATATATATAATCATTTATTCGAAAATTATAACATAAAAATGTTATAAAATCACTACAAAAATAGCCATTTTGTTTCAACATTTCTGGTGTCTTATCAAGTGATAGTGTTGAATGTAGACTAAAACCCTATAGTTTACATTCAATACCATCACTTGATAAGACACCAGAAGTGTTGAAACAAAATGGCTATATTTGTAGTGATTTTATAACATTTTTATGTTATAATTTTCGAATAAATGCTTATATTTGCTCTACTCAGTATTGAGCACTCTTTTAAGAATAGCATTTGTTAGTTATTGGAATTTATTATTTATTCCATATACACCAATCCTATACTTTGATATATATATATATATATATATATATATATAGAGAGAGAGAGAGAGAGAGATAGATAGGTAATATTAGTGGTAAATATACACATACATATGCAAAATATATAAATACCATGGAATATTAGTGAAATTATGACCATGAAATATTAGTGAAATTATGACCGTGGAATATTAGTGTTTAAGCCTTTTTTTTTTATATATATATATATATATATATATATATATATATATATATATATATATATATATTGTGTCGAGTCTATTTTCGTTAAAGAATATGCACCAACAAAAATAAGGTTACAGTGCACAAGGCAAATAATATCTCTCCATGTTCATGCAGACGATAAGAAAACGTTATCGTGAAAATGACAATTTATGATATCGTTGCTGCAGTCGAGAATGGCTGGAGCGGTAATGGTGGCCGATGGCAAAGCTGCGTCTGATGATGACTGGAGCCGTGGAACGGCTGTCAGCTGCTGCTGGAACAGATACTACACTTTGATCCTAGTCATCTAAACCGTGGATCATTTTTTTTTTTTTTCCTTTTTTTTCTTTTTATTGTATTGAATCCTTTTTATATCCCGGATAAGTTTTGCAACGATCGCTGGTTAAGCTTTTCCATCTGATTTTTTTTTTTTTTTTTTTTTTTTTGATGTGGAAGTGCTGACAAAATACAAAAATCCCACTGATCAAAATGCGATGATCAATGCAACAAAGATGAAGATACTAGTCAGAAGAATCTTTGCAACAGAAAAAAACTGCTGTGAAAATGTCATATTTAAGAGATACAGGTGTATTTTTTTTTAAGTCCACAAAGTCTACGAATACTCTATGACGCCATTCCCACGCTTGCAAATTAACAGATAGTAAATTTAATAAAATCTTTTCGAAAAGAATTTTAAAGAAAGAAGCCATTTTCGCAGCTGTCACTGATTCCTTCGTTAAATTTCCACTGCATGTTATCGCAGTGAATTATATTAGGCGTGTGCAAAAGTTACGAGAGAAATAAAACAGTTTTAATTGTCTAGTTTTCAAGTAAAATAAAAGGGGGGAAGAACTTTATACTTAGCTTTTAGTAAGTATCTGTCGCTATTCTAGGGCATCGTGTCGTTTCTTCGTTACATTGTCCGTGAATTGTTATGAAACTTCCCAAAGAGTTTAATTTTTGCATATGGCTTCATTCTGATATTTCTAACTTGTAAGCTTGCATCTTAAGCTGTCACTTTTTCTAACTACCACATGTTCTGTCTTCTTACACCTGATAGTCACGCTTTCCTTCCTAAAGTTCGAATATCGAACTGAACCCTTTATTTCGCTCACTGGGGTAGACTGTTCTAGTTTCACGGGCCATTTAAGGGCAGTAAATTCGACCTTGCGAATCGAATGATTCTCTGTGCTTCGATCGGTTAAAAGCACGTCAGGTTATGATACAGGTTCGAATCCTGTCAGAGGACGAATATTTTCTATAAAAATTTCTCGGACATTCAGGCAAATGTTATAAATACTGTTTATTATGAAAACAGAGCATTTACTTAAATATTTCAATCTATAAAAAGAATGTATAAACATAAAAATGTCTTAAAATATATATATATATATATATATATATATATAGAGAGAGAGAGGGAGAGGGAGAGAGAGGGGGGTATAACAGGAAAAGTGTACAAATCCTGTAGCAGAAAAAAACTATCCAATAGTTAGATCAAGATCTGTTGTATCCCAGAAATGATTAAAGATATCTTACTGGAATACTCAGATATTCTTATAACACTATTAGACTCTACTTTCAGCGATAGGAATGAAAAATTCCTCTCTAAGCTTAACAGAAGAATCGTAATGAAATCGATCAGAAACAAAAATTATGTCTATCATTAATTAATCATAGCTAAGAATCGGAAGCTCATGAAGTATTGAAATATCGTTCAAGAATACATATGTTATTCCAGGAACATTTCCAAATTATTCATGATGATCTTCGCCCTCTCGAACCTTCTAACTTTCTGTCCTGGAGTTAAAAGGGGCCTCACACGTTTCACGCACGATTTCATTTCCTAGTCTTTTTTTTTCACTGCTCTTTGGACTGTCCTAGCTGAAACTCCTCTCTCACGTGATAAACATCCTATGGATTGAGTTGGATCTTTTCTAATTGATCTCTTTAGCTCTAATTTGAAATATGATCTCTTTTCCTGTTGTTACCTCCTCATCCAGTTTTCATCTCTACTGTTCCTTCTTTCTCTTGATGGTTCTTGAATGGAGTTTGAAGTTGGAAGGCAAAGTATGAATGTTGGTACCATTATTAAAAGCCTGAACGATCTATTTCCTCTCACCATTGCTCATTTGGGAAGACATAGTTCGGCTGATGTAAAATTATTTTAATCTGTTCTTTTTTCTAGCTGAATACCACAAAGGGTTTGTTCAGCGATTCTTACGACAAATGGGGTCAAGATGACTAAACCTCTTATCTGAAAACCTGGAAAAAAGAAACTCAATTAGTTTAGTTTTTTTTTTTTAGATATTAAACATTTTGTGGGATGGATAATTAAACTGTTAGAGGATTTGGACAATTTTGTTGTTACACCCGGTATATATTTACGGTCGCTTTCCCGCCGCCGTAATGTAGGTTCCCTGTGCCATTTCTATAACTATTTTCATGGTAATTGTTCCGATGAACTTTTCTGTGGTACCTAGACTTTATGAATTTAAACGCAGTACTAGATTGGCAGCTAGGTCTCATCGTTTTATAGTTGAATTGGCTCAATGTAACCGTACGTTCTATGCTAACAGTTTCTTTTCCCGCACTTCTCGATTGTGGAACTCTCTTCCGGCCCCATGCTTTCCAGCCAACTTTGATCTTCCAAAATTTAAATGCAATGTGAATCGTTATCTACTGTCTTCTTGATTACTCTTCTATTGTTCTCGGTTCTTCATTTTCTGTTTTCTAACTCATTAAAACCATGTAAACCCTTGTGGCTTAGTGACTTTACTACCTTGCTTGGGGTAAATTAGATCAAAATATACATATTTAATTATTTTCAATAAAGTAAATCGTAAAGAAATGTTTTATTTCATAAAGAAAATCGAAAAATACAAAACAATATTCAGTGGTTTTGTGTTTTTAATTTTTTTTTATTTAAAGTAAATCTTAATTTAATTTATTTTTTAATAAATAAATCGAAATTCTTATTTTTTTTTATATGTCAATTTAGATTGTTGAAAATAAATTTCTATAACATTCACTTCTTTAAGAATAATTAAAAACAAAAAACAGCATCATATTTTATATACTGCCTTTTCAAAGGTCTTATTTGAAGAAAAATTAAGTTTTAATCCTTAATAAATTACTTAATAAATTACTTTTATTCGGTAATAAAAACAATGTTTTTCTGATGTTGAGTTGTCTCACACCTGAGTTGTCCCGGTGCTCAGTCGGCGGTGTTGAGTTGTCCTGGTGCTCAGTCGGCGGTGTTGAGTTGTCCCGGTGCTCAGTCGGCGGTGTTGAGTTGTCCTGATGCTCAGTCGGCGGTGTTGAGTTGTCCTGCACCCGTCGACGTTGCGCCTGTGGGGTAAGGAGCTGCAAAGTGTAGAATGTGTTTACCTCCATAAGACCGCGTAAAGGATTCTGAGAATGAGGTATGAGCAGAGCCATTCCGACTATGGCAGCAATATTCCATTTACGGTCTAAAGCGTGAAAGGAATCAGTTACACCCGATATGGATGCAATGTTTCATTGCATCCATACCGGAAGATCATTTTTCCAGGATCTTTAGCAGTGAGTGGTGTATGAGGTCCCTGAGTTTTGAACTTGAAACACAGAGAGACTGTCGACGTTGAAATCATTGAGACGCATTCAGAATGCAACAGTTTATCGAGCCGAGAGAAAATTCCATGCCTGATTGTAGATAGATAGATAGATAGATAGATAGATAGATAGATAGATACGCACATACGTACATGCATGCATACATACAAATATACTGAGATAGATAGATAGATAGATAGATAGATAGATAGATAGATAGATACACACATGTATGCATACAAATAGACTGAGATAGATAGATAGATAGATAGATAGATAGATAGATAGGAACAGACTGAGATAGATAGATAGATAGATAGATAGATAGATAGATAGATAGATAGATAGATGTGTTATACAGCTATATATACAGCTACATCTCGCTATTGATTTTACGGTTTACCTGTTTTGTTGAGTGTAACGAGAAGTTAGAAATGAGGAAAATCTTGAAAGCCACGGAAGCGCGCGGGAAGAAAGAAAGAAAGAAAGAAAGAAAGAAAGAAAGAAAGAAAGAAATTATTTGTAACGTTAAAACGGACATATATTACTTTCGCCTTTTATAATTCTATCGAATGTATCTTCATTAATAATATTCAAGTTTCATTGATAATTATCCTTCATTAGTGAAATACACTTCAGGTGGCAGCCAGGATACAAAGAAAGCTTGTGTTCTGCCCCCGGGCAAGATCACCGTTGTATTCCCAAGGGTTCTCGGTCGGTCTAATGTCAGTATTTAAAGGACTGAATACCAACCAACAAGGCAGAAGTAGACGGTGCCTAATTATTAAGAACATTGCTTGTAAACTAGGCTTAACTTAATAATGTTATTTTGTTATAAGTTTTGTATATATTTTGTTTTGCTTTGTGTGGTTATACTTATTTAAGGTTTATCTTCTCAAGGCCAAACATTTGGAAATAAGCTTTTCTTATTTGAAATGGATTAAATATAGTGAAATCGAATTTGTTCATTTGTACGCACTTACTTCCTTAAAAAAATCACCAGCACTTATGATTTATCAGAAGCTTTTACACAGGAAAAAAGTGTGACTTTCACGTGTAGTGCTAGTATGGAGCATCAGTGGAGTCTCGGCGCAGAATCAATGGAGCCTCACTGGAGCCTCACTGTAAAGCCTCGATGGAGCCTCGATGGAGCCTCGGTGGAGCCTCAGTAGATGTCTCACTGGAGCCTCACTGAAACCTCCATGGAGCTTCACTAGAGCCTCACTGAAACCATGGAGCTTCACTGGAGCCTCACTGAAACCTCCATTGAGCTTCACTGGAGCCTCAGTGGAGCCTAACTGGAGCTTCGGTTGAGCCTCACTGGAGCCTCGGTAGAGCCTCAGTGAAGCCTCGGTGGTGCCTAAGTGTAGCCTCGATGGAGCCTCAGTGGAGCCTCAATGGGGACTCAGTGGAGCCTCACTGGAGCCTCAATTGAGCTTCAGTGGAGCGTCAGTGGAGCCTCGATGGAGCATCACTGGAGCTTCCATAAAGCCACACTGGAGCCTCGGTAGAGTAATTTTTAGCGGCTCGGGTTGAGGAATAGGATAGCTGAGTTCAAATTCCACTGGAGTTCATTATATTCACTTGGAAGAGGTGTGAATCCATCCCTTTTCCTATAGCAACCGTTCTTGGTGAAGGAAACTGAATTCAAACCAGCCTGCTGCCTTATAGATCCTCCCTCTTTGGATAGAAAAGCTAGAACAAAAAATCAACCTCACATGTTGTCTCGAAGAAAGGACCATCCACCTTGTTCGAGGTGCGGCAGGTAATAATGGACTCGCCGGGCTCTCTCCTCGTCTCGAAGAAAGGAACACCAACCACCTTTGAGCCGGGGCAGGTAATAATGGACTCGCCGGGCTCTCTCTTCGTCTCGAAGAAAGGAACCCCAACCACCTTTGAGCCGGTGCAGGTATTAATGGACTCGCCGGGCTCTCTCCTCGTCTCGAAGAAAGGAACCCCAACCACCTTTGAGCCGGGGCAGGTATTAATGGACTCGCCGGGCTCTCCTCGTCTCGAAGAAAGGAACCCCAACCACCTTTGAGCCGGGGGCAGGTATTAATGGACTCACCGGGCTCTCTCCTCGTCTCGAAGAAAGGAACCCCAACCTCCTTTGAGCCGGGGCAGGCATTAATGGACTCACCGGGCTCTCTCCTCGTCTCGAAGAAAGGAACCCCGCCTCTACCGCTTTCTTCGAGCCGTGACTGGCAATAATGGACTCCCCTGGCTTAATACAATGGTTTGAACAAACACAAGACGCCGTAGACTTGTCTCATTTCCAATCACTCGCCCATGGGTGTATCACACACGGCACGTGACGCGAGTACGTCTAATTTTAAACAGAATAAAATTTATTTGAAAATATTCTGATAATTTAAATTAAGACTCGATATCACTTTCCAGTCATGATAGAGTTCAAAAGCGTCTCCGAGTCCTTGTGGGAGAAGAATTACTTTCCACCCTTCAACATCTCTCTCTCACTCTCTCTCTCACACACACACACAGGCAGGATGTGGCAAGACTCTCACTACTCTATCGCTACTTGCATGGAAAGTGCTCAGACGAGCTACATTCCTTGGTTACGCCAGATCTAACCTTCCCGGTTAAGACCAGTTACATAGCAAACCACACAAATTTCCTCTGTATTCCATCAGCGAGAAGGAAGTTCGACTCGTGCAACTTCTAGAGTTGAAGTAGACTTTAGAAGGAAACGGGAATCAGGAAACAAACAGGATAAACCTCTACACCTGTTCAAAAGAGCGGAGAGGAGTGTGAACCGGACTATAGGCGAACCTATCTACTCCTGTTGATGAGAAACTAAATAAATAAATAGGAAATAATATTTCTAAGATCAGGTGGAGACTTTAGAACCGGCAACCCAGTGCTAAACAGGGATCAAGGGGTAGACCTCCAATCCTGTTAAAAAATTTATGTTATAATCATTTAATTCTGCTTGTTCCTCTGTTTGTTAGCGTTTACACTACGCTAGTCCATTGCCTCAGAAAAATAATGGACCATTCTGCTTTCATTTTGAGGAAAGACGGAAGAAAATGATATTTCAGAGATGGTGATTGATTTTCGTGAGAAGAAAGAAAGAAAGAAAGAAAGGGTCCCATAGCAGCAGTGATGAGTCTAGGGCATAGCAGTCTAACGGGGCCCCTCCCGGTTTTGAATTCAGAGTTGTTCTTCTCCTTGACTGCTTGCCAACCAAGGCCAGAGAGTTTAGTCAGCTTTGATATTTAACCCATAGCTGGGGGAAGAAGAGATGGATACTTACCGATTTTGTTTAACCGCTGCACCTACAGATTATAGACAGTGTATAAAATTGTTTCCCTATATATTATGTCAAAGCATAATTAGAAAAGAGGCAGTAAGTTTGTCCAAAATATGTCTCTCCACTTCGCGTCAATATCGCACCATTGTTTTGGTTCCATGTCAAGAACGAAAAGGGCTATAGCAGCTATTTATTATGATAATGACCTGGAAATTAAACATGGGATAATAGTTTACGGATCTCATCAATCTCTACTCTCTTCTTCATCCAGGATATGACGATAAACTACATCCGGCAGCAAGGCCTCAAATCGGGAGGTTTTGAGGAGAGTGGAACCACCTCTTAACTGCTGCTGATGGTCCCACAGGGCAGTGGCTCACTGCCCTGTGGAACTGGCTCCCCAGAGGATGTTTCCCGATCACTACAATCTTCACCTATCTAAGTCTAGAGACAACCATTATCTTCCCCTCCTATCCATATAAATTACCCCTTGTCGTAGCGCTCTTCCTCGAGTGACCTCCTCGGCCTTTTATAGGGTGAACCTTAATGCAAAAAAATATATATATCTTAAATTTTTAACAGAAATTTGTTATAAAGTGTACCGCCCTACGCCGAACTTTTCAAAACACTTTTTTTTCTTTATATTTATCTTAATAGGCTTGACGATCATTTCGACAAACGCGATTTTCATTATTGGTCCAAAATCCCCGTAGAAGAAAATGTAAGCTGTCATGACGAAAAAAGGTTATTCTACAAAATATTTTATTTGATATTGAGTCGTTAGATGTAAAGATTTGAAGTAGACTTTAGAAGGAACTGGAAACCAAATCCTAAAGCGGAAACAAGGGATAAACCTCTACTCCTGCTCAAAAGACTGCAGAGAGGTATGACTATGTCCGATAGGTGAACCTACCTACTCCTATTGCGAAAAGAAAAGCGAATTCAATATTAAATAAAAGTTCAGAGTTTTAGTTGGAAATTTTACAAGTATAGTTGTAGTAGACTTTAGAAGGAATCGGGAATCTAAACAGGAAACAAGAAGGCGATCATCTGATAAAATACCAAAGATGAATTCCGGAGATCACAATGGCCGAAACGTTGTGATAATAACAACAAAGATGAGGACAATAATCCGAATGTAGATAGAGTAAATAATGATAATTCCTCATCCCCGAAATTCAGACAGAAGGGGGTCAGGTGACAAAAAACACCAAAGATGAAGGCTGAAGATCATATCAGCCGAAACGTGTTGATAACAACAAGAAAGATGAGGACAATAGTTTGAATTTAAATAGTGTAAATAATGATAATTATTCATCCCAGGAATTAAGACAGAAGCGGATCATGTGATAAAACCACCAAAGATTAAGACCGAAGAGCAAATGAAGGTTCGGAATTGCCCTTACGTTACCCGGATCGATATACACCTGATGAAGGCCAGAGAGTCCAACGGCCGTAACGTTGTGATAACAACAACAAAGATGAGGACAATAATCCAAATGTAAATAGTGTATATAATGATAATTACTCATCCCAGAAATTCAGACAGAAGAGGGGTCAGGTGATAAAAACACCAAAGATAAAGGCCGGAGAGCAAATCAAGCTTCATTAATATAAACTGGTTCTCAAGTTTCTTCCTTGTCGTCATCTAGATATGGTTTCAAATTATTCGGTGCTTGGGTCTTCATCAGATATATAAGATTTCGTGAATAGATCAAAGGAGCCAGAGGTTCGAGTTTCAGATGTATGAGAAAAGGAAATTACTTTTGGGGTAGGCTGACGGTCAAATCACACTGAAGTTAAGCAGAGTCGAGCGTTTTGTTTGTGAACACCTCCCACGATCCAATAAATATGTTGCTGCTTAAAAAATCAATCTCTTGGTATAGGCAGATGTTACTGAGAGACCAAAACAGCAGGAGAACTACATACTATTTAAAATATTTGAATGCGAACTATTGTCCTCATCTTTGTTGTTCTTATCACAATGTTTCGGATATATGTCGATCCGAGTAGCCTAGAGGGAATATCGCCCTGAACACTTTATTTAATCAACGTAGGTAGTCTGTTCTCGTTCCACTGTCCATGTAAGGATATCACGTCTTATTTTTATTTGGTACTGTTCAGTTGTTTTTCGACTTCTTTCCACTGCCTCCATGTACATACTGCCGTGCCCAGGGATTGAACACATGGTTACCATGTCAGCAAATATAGGTAGCCACGCTTTAATCCTCGAGGTTATTGTCCTGTAGAACTAAAAATATCGCTAGACA